GGGCGGAGGGCGGATGGCGACGGATGGCGCCGGGTTCGGCTCCTCCCGTCTCCCTCGCTCACTCCGCGGTTGGGCTCCGACTAACGGCCCATCCGGGCAACCGCCGCCCCCGGGAATGCCCCCCCACTCCCACCTCCCTCCGCGGCTGGACACGCCCCTTATTTACATAAAGGGCGTGGCCCTTTGTAGGCTATTCCCCTTTACTTCCAGGACTGCCTTTACTTTTTTATAAAAGTGTGCGGAGCTTGCAGGGGTTATTTGCATAAAGAGGCGGGAGTTACAGACGCTAAGACTGATTGGCTGAGGGGTAGAGTCCCGGCGTCGGCCGTTGAGACGTATAGAGGGGGCGGGAATGCGACGCCAGTCAGCCAAACTGTTAGGGCGCACAATTTATACGAGAAATGGTGGGAGAAAGAGGCGGGGCATGCGTCTTGCGTCCGTGGAAAGAAGGGCTTAGAGACGTAGAGACCCCGAAAGTGGAAGAAAAAGATGCGAGGACCATGGTGCTTTCCTCGGAGATGGAGAGGACGGGGCTGACGGGAAGGCTTTAGCCAACACAAGGTGGAGTTTACCTAGACCGAGGAAGAGTTCGGGCTCACACGTCCCTTCGCGAGAGGTGAAGGCACCGGAGAGGCGTTTCATTTATTAAACGCGTCATGCAAATGAGATGGATAAAAAGACCAATCCGAGGGTCTAGAGAAGCACAGGCGTCCCTTGGTTTAGCTCCTATTTGCATAATACATGCACATTATTTGAACAAAGATAGGATAGGAATTATCCCTTCTGCAAAATACCAGCAACTAAAGACGGACATTTAATTTTATAACCTGTAATTTTTATGAATAATCTTTATATTTGAGATTATTGTCAATTTGTAGTCTCTCAACAATGGGTTTCACTTTACTAAGTGCGTTACTATTTTCTCCTCTTTGTCTCTTACTAATTAACTGTAAAACCCTCCGCTCTCCCTGAGAAGAAATTAAGGTGGAGGTGGGTAGAAAGACAAGGAAGATCATATATATTTTGGGGGGGGTACTGGGAATTGAACTCGGGACCTTCTGCTTGCAAGGCAGGCGGTGGCACCGAGCTAAATACCCGGCGAGAAAGTAATTTTTTTTCATAATTTTTTTAATGGCAAAGCATTCTTTGGTATGTTTTAGGCATGCATAATAACATTTGTAGGGAATTTGCACCAGTACGGAAGATCATAATTTTAAAGTTGTATTTTTAAGAAAAACTGCAGTTTCGGGGCCCCAAAATCTCTCAAGCCTTTTTTCCTCTTAGGAACATACAACACACAAGCAATATATGTTTGTCTTTCTTTGTATGTCTGTCTATGGGCATTAAAGACATAATAAGTGCAGGGAGTGGTGGCATAGACCTGTAATCCTAGCACTTGGAAAGCTGAGGCAGGAGGCAGGAGTGGGCCACATAGTTCAAGGCCAGGCTGAACTACATGATGAGACCTTGTCTCAAAACACCTAATTGATTACATAATTGTAAAATGTAAGTACACAACAACAAAAATAAATAAGCAACAAGCAGCCGGGCACTGTAGTGAAGCCTGTAATCCTCACACTCTGGGAGGCTGAGGTAGGAGGACTGCAGGTTTGAATTCAGCCTGGGCAATTTAGTAAGTTAGCAAGATCCTGACTCAAAAATAAAAAATGAAGTGTGGAGGGGAACAGTGTGGTGGTGCACATCTGTAATCCCAGCACATGGAGGCTGAGGCAGGACGATTCTGGCAAGTTCGAGGCCAGCCTGTGCCACACAGTGAGTTCTAAGCCAGCTTGGACTATATATAGCAAGACCTGTCTCAAAAATAAATAAATAAAATGAAATTAATAGAAATAAGAAGGACCAGGGAGGGCTGGGGATTTAGCTCAGTGGTTCCACTGCCTACCTTGCAAATGCAAGGTCCCAAATTCAATCCCTGGTACAAAAAAAAAAAAAAAAAAAAAAGACCAGGGAATGTAGCCCAATGCGAAGGCCCTGGGTTCAGTCCCCAGTAATGCCCAATAAAACACAACACACTTGTAAATCGGGCTCTGGGTGTGCGCATGCGCTTACCACCTGTAAATTACTCTCCTTGCCACAGACCTCCATCCTCACTCAGGCAGCAACATTAGTGGGCAGCAGATCTTCACCTGCACCCCTGACGGGTGCGCTGACCCACAGGAGAGCAAGTCCTAGATCACCTAGTGTGCAGACCAGGCTGGGCAGCTCTGGCCCATAGCGCAACTCACCCCAAAGCCCTGTATCCCCATCTGTGTACCATTTTTCTGCCAAGTACGTCTTTTCTGCGCCCCCTACTGGTACAGACTGAAAATTATTTTATCTGTTGACTTTTTTGCGGGTGGGAGGGTACCAGGGATGGAACTCCGGACCTTGCACTTGCAAGTCAGGTGGCAGAACCACTGAGCTAAATCCTCAGCAGGAAATTATTTTATCTGTGACAAGAGTCAATAAGCATTTCTGTGAGTGGGGTGAATTGAAGTCCCTATCTCTCTGGGAAACCTCCTCAGAGTCCATATCATCAGATATATTACCTATGATAAATCATTCAATAACTATTTCACGTGTTTATTTTTATTTTATGGTATATTTTGTGTGGGGGTACACAAGGTCTTGCTCTATAGTTCAGGCTGGGCTTCAACTCACTATATAGCCCAGGTTGGCCTGAACTCACAGGGATCTTCCTGCCTCAGCCTCCTGAGTGCTGGGATTACAGGCCTGATCGACCACACCCAGCCTGCCTTTAATTCTTATCAGGCCTTGTACTGGATTCTAGTTCTTTCACCCACTTTCAAGCTTTAGGCATCATAAGGGCTTGTGATATGCAAGTCACAATAGCACAGATCCTACTGTATTACATTCTCAGATAAAAGCTTCAGAGAAGGGCTGCAGGGGTATAGATCAGTGGTAGAGCACTTGGCTAACATATGCAAGACTCTAAATTGGATCCCTGGCACAAAAAAGTGAAAGAAAGAAAACCAAAGAACTCAGTATGAGGGATTTGTCAAAGCCACAAAGCTTATTGTGGTGGAGACTATTGGTTCAAAGTAACCCTTACTTGGGCTGAGGATTTGGCTCAGTGGTTCCATCGCCTGCTTTGTAAGCACAAGGACCCAAGTTCAATCCCTGGTACCAAAAAAAAAAAAAAAAAAAAAAAAAAAAAAAAAAAAAAAAAAAAAAAAAAAAAAAAAAAAAAAAAAAAAAAAAGTGATATCCCAAATAAACTGAGGAGTCATTTAAAAAAACAAAGTAACCCTTACTCCTTGCAATTAATATACTAATACGAGTATTATATCTACCTAGGTAGGCATGGGTTGGGTGCCTATAATCTTAGCATTCTGGGAGACTGAGGCAAGAGGATTGCAAGTTAAAGACAAGCCTGTGCAGCATAGGGATTTAACAAGACCCCATCTCAAAAAGGGCTGGGACTGTAGCTCAGTGCAAAGGCCCTGGATTCAATCCCTAGTATCACCAAAAACCAAACAAAAAAACAATCCTACATCAACTTCTTGAGCTCAGAATTGTCTTACATTTGTGGAATCCAGTTTAGCACACAGAACCATCTGCTGTAGACACAAAATTGTGGATAGTTGATTTATTTGGGCAAGTCTGCTGCTTTTCGCTCAGACACTTCTTTCCTCCCCAAACCCAGGAGAAAAGTCCCCCAAGTAAAAAAACAAGTTGACATGATCAGAAAGGGGAAGATAATTTGTTTAATTTAGTTTGACTCTAGCTCACAATTTTGTCTTCTTTTTCCATGTTGAGGTCATTAGAAGCCCTCAATCCCACCATGCACAGATTCCCTCCCCTCCCTCCCTCCCGCTCTCTCTCTCACACACACACACACACACACACACACACACGCACACACGCACACTTATTCTGCAGTTAGGGCAACTCAGAGATAGCTTTCTTGGCGGGGGGTCTGGTTGGCTTCTCCAGTTCTCTTGCTTTCTCCTCATACATCAGGATCCTGGAGGAGACACAGCCACGGGGGTGCTTCTGTCAGGGGAACCCGAAGGGGGAGAACCCTGGGGGGAGTGGGGCAGGCAGGGGGAGGAGAGCAGCTGCGGCTGGAGCTGTGTGGACCGATCCATCGCACGAGGACAGGGATGCCGGCGGGGCCGGGACCTGGAAGAGCCCCAGCAGGGATGGAGGAGCAGGTGCTGAGCACTGCACAGAAGCTGAGCCTGGGGATGAGGGCAGGGCTGGGCTGCAGGAGAGAGCAGGTGAGTTTCGGGGAGGTGGGAACTGGAGCCTCACGTCTTTAGGATGGCGGATCTCTTCCCCAACATCATTCTGAGAAAGTCAGGGTAACTGAACGTCTCCCCAGAGCCACTGGAGACCTCTCCAATTAATTTCTTTAGCTCTAGGTGGGTCTTGGGGACCCCGAGTTTCTCCATCATCCTCTTCAGAGACATGATATCTGCAGGGAAGAAGAGGGGGCGCCTGGCTCACTCCTCCCTCACCTGCTGCTCTGACCTCTGCCCGGGCCGCGCCCCCACACCGCGGGTTCCTCACCAATGTCCCCGTTCCCGTTCAGGTCGAACTCCATGTATTTCCCTGAGCAGAGGGAGAGCAGCCGGTTAGCAGGGGCTGCAGGGTGCCGGACCAACGAAGGGGGGTCAGTAGGGAGGAAACGTGGGGCAGGAGACGGGGCCGGCAGAGGACGCAGGGCTGGGGGCTTGGGGACCCTGTGAAGCTGGATGGAACTAGGGCACTCCAGGAGGGAACAGTGAAGGAGGCTCCTGCCACCAGGAAGTCTTACAGTGGATTCAAGGGACTCCCGCCCGGCCCCGCCCCGCAGGGACCCCCTCACTCTTGAAGGCTCCCAGCTGGGAGGGCAGGTCCTCGTCAGTGCTGTATTTGGGATCATCCAGGAATTGCTGTTGGGAAAGGCAAGAGCCAGGGTGGCCCATCCCGCCCTCCCCGCAGGACCGGCCCTGTCCCCGGGGCTCTGGCCCTCTTTCCTCCCATTACCTTGTTGATCTCCTCCAGCCTCTCTTCCTGCTGGGCCTTCAGCAGCCCAAAAGCTTTTCCTCCTAAGGGCCACAGAGTTCAATCCACCTGCAGCCCTCCTCGGCCCCTTGCACAGCCCAGGCCTCCCCCGGTCTGCCGCCCTGCTGGCTCCCGGGTCCGTGTCCCCTTCGTTTTCCGGCAGTCCACTTCCCTACCCTGTAAATCCCTGGCTTGGCTCATAGCTCGGAGACGCTGGAGGCCGGAGGGAGAAGACCAGCTCTCAGCTCTCAGGACTGGGCGGCTCCTGCTGTCCTCCCCACCAGGCTCCCCCAGGCCTGGCTCCCAGACTTCCCCTTTCCTTCATTCCTGCGCTGCCCCTCAGGCCTCACTTCCCCTCCGGCCTCTGCTGACACCGGCACCCCAGGGGGAGGGGCAGGGGGAGGGGCGCGAGGGCCTCGGAGTCCAGATTTGTGTTCGAGGCCCAGCCTGAGCCAGCAGGACGCAGGACGGAGCAGCGACAGGCGCTTCACAGCAGACAGAGCAAATGGACTCAGAACAGCCCCCGCGGCCCAGAGGCTCAGCAACTGTCACGCAGCTGAGCAGTCCGTCCGGAGAGGCCAAGCCATCAACACCAAAACGTGTACGGGCCTAATGCCTTTCCTCATTAGTTGCTCATCCCTCTGTCCTGGCGTTAGCCCATCCACTCACGGAGGGAATCTCTCCCAGCTAGCTGCTGACACCTCTCTCTCCCAGTGTCTGCCATCCACACAGATGTGATAACTCGGCTTTTCCCAGGCAGCTGCTAGAATCTCCGATTTTACTCCCGGATTCTAGTCCCCTGTTCACTGGAATAAACATTTTTTCCTCACTACAAAGAGCTTGGTTTTGTTTGTTTGTTTGTTTGTTTGTTTGTGACAGGGTCTCACTATATAGTTGAGGCTGACCTGAAACTCACTATGTAGCCCAAACTAGTCTTGAACTCACAGTGGTCCTTCTGCCTCAACCTCCTGAGTGCTGGGATTACAGGCATGTGCCACCACGCCCAGCTAAGAGCCTATTTTTTGACAAATGAATTATTTATAACAATTCCTTTGGCATTCTTGTTTGTTTGTTTTTGTTTTTTTAAGATAGGTTCTCCTTGTGTTTCCCAGGCTGGCTTCACACTCCCAAACTCCAGGGATCCTCCTGCCTCAGCCTTCTGAGTAGATGGGACTACAAGCATGTGTCACCACCCTGGCTCCCAGAGGTTCTTCTTAACAGGTCTGATGTGTGTATGAGAAAAACATAGTATGGTGACAGCTACTGGACGTGTGGAGAGAAGGACAGGGAGAGCCCAGCACTTTATTCTATTCTTGGGGATAAATAAGTTAGCACCCTCTGACAGGCCCTGAGGTTCAAGTGAGGACAAAGCCTCACACTGTCGAGCTTTGACAGTGTGGACATTCAGGGCCGGTTGAATTTCCTGTGCTGTGGGTGGAAGAAGATGCTGCTGCTGTGGGCACAGAGCCTGCAGAGGGAGAAAACCCTCCCACCGCGCCTGAGGGGCACCTGCAAGCACGCAAATGTCCAGCACAGGATTTTAATTTGTTTGCTTTAGGAAGGGCAAAGTCACTCTGTCATTTTACCTCCTTTGAAATCTTTAGTAAGATTGGCAGGGACTTGAGGATTTAATGAAGTTATTTTTGTTTGTTTGTTTGGTTTGGTTTGGTTTTTTGAGACAGGCTGGCTTTAAACACAAGTAATCCTCCTGCCTCAGCTTCCCAAGTGCTGGGATTGTAGGCCTGTGCCACCACGCCACCATGCCCAGCTCTCCTAGCACAGCTGTCTTCACTTCGCAGCCCTCTCCCAGTCCCAGGTGGGGGGGCGGGGACACTGATTTGGGGACTTCCTTTCACAGGCCGCCCTCCCCTGCAGAGCGCTGCAACTTGCCTGGGGCTCGGGTCAGGGCATCACTTCCCTATTCTCAGCTTCCTTCAACAAATTCTGTCCCTCTCCCTCTGTACGGAGATTGAACGTGGGCCTTCAACCTGAACTACAGCCCAGAACCTTCATTTGTTTATTGCCAGGATCTCAGGCAATTACTTCATTGCCTGGGCTGGGCTGACTTTGGTATCCTCCTGCCTCAGCCTCCCAAAGTGCTGGGATTCAGGCCTATACCATAAGGAACATCTCTTGAATACTTTCTCTATGCCGGAATGACAGGAATGCTGCTAGGCCTGATGAAACAAACAAGTAAAAACTCTTGTCCTCTTGGTCTAATTGGGGAAGAGAGACAATAAAAATAAAGAGCATGGAAAAGGCCACAGGCACCCGTGGAAGACAATAAGGGCAGATATAAGCACTGCTCTGAGTATGGACCCTAGTTTTCAATAGGGTGGTGGGGGAAGGCTTCTCTGAGAATGTGATATTTGAGCAAGGATTTTAAGGAGGGCAGGAAACAAGCCATGTGGATATATGGAAGAATATATATCACTCTTCTTTCTTTTGAGACTGGGTCTTGTTTTGTAGCCCAGGCTGGCTTTGAATTCATGGCGATCCTCCTGCCTCAGCCTCCTGAGTGCTGGGATTACAGGCGTGCACCACCAGTCCCAACTCCCTTTTTTTTTTTTTCCAACTCGCTGTTTTTCTTTTGCTCACAGCATTTCACATGGGGATTCACCTGCACCAACCAATTCTCACTGGGTGTCTTATAATTTAATTCAGTTCTAACATTGTCTACTAACCCTGCCAGTTAAAGGGGTCAGTCCCACAAGATACCTCAACTTGAGATGCCAGCCCTATTCTGGACCTCTTGTGATTCGGGCCAATCTGTTGTAAATCAGGGGAGGCTGTGCCCCCCGACAAGGGTTCAGAAATTTGCTAGGTGTCTCAGGGCTCAGAGAGGTACTCTCGTATTTGTTGTTTTACTACAAAGGATGCAAGTCAGGAGCAGCGGAGGGAAGAGATGCCCAGGGCCCAGTACTGAGGACAGGCACAGAGCTCCCAGCCCTCGCCGGCCACTGTACTGGCAGCCCCAAATTCTCCAACCTGGCATCTCTCGGAGCCCCTTCTTCGTGTGTCCGGGTGCGTGGAGGCCTCAGCCCTAAGGTCCAGGAATTCATTCATTCTCCCCTGGTTGGAGGCCAAGGGGTGGTGCTAAACGTTCAACCCCCCCAATCACAGGGCTGTTCCCCTGGCAACCAGTCTCCCAACCAGTCTCGGGGCTTTCCAAAATCACCTTATCAGCTACAACTCAGGCGGTTGAAAGGGGGTTGTTGTGAATGACAAAAGATGCTCTTTTCATCCTTGTCACTTAGGAAATTACAGGGGTTTTAGGAGCTCTGTCCAGGAGCCAGGATAGAGACCAAAAGGTACTGTATTATATCCTTTTTTTATTGTTGCAATATCATAATGAGAGAAGAGCACTTCAACAGGGGGAGTAGCAAGTGCCAAGGCCCTGAGGCAAGAGCACAGCAGTCTGGATGGTAAATTGCTAAATTGCTCAGGCTGGGCTTGAACTTTCCATCCTCCTGTCTCAGCCTCACAGTGCTAGGATCACAGGTGTTTGCACTATGCCCGGCCAACCCCAGCTTTTATTCCAAGTGCACTGCCTCCTCCACTAAGCTTTCATCAGGGTGGCTTGGCAGACTTCCATGGTGGAAGAGAGCTTGGGTGCCCAGAAAAACTTCCTGAAACGGGGAAAGTGACGGCTGCTCTGTCTATGGGACCAAAGTGAAGACTACAGCGATCTGGGCCACACTGAGACCTCAGTAGCTCCCAGTGTTGTAGGAAATCTGGACCGGGAAAGACAAACCCACTCCAAGGAGACGGAGGAAAGCTTTGCTGAGTGGCCGGGCAGTGGAGCTGGGTGCTCCGAAAAGACCTGGGCCCCGGAATAAAAGAACAGGGGCGCTTGATGCAGTCATTTCAGTGGGGTGAGCTTGGGGCAGATGACGGTGTGCCTGGCTTGAGGTCGGGGCTTTCTTTAGGGTCAGGACTTTCGCACAGAGGAGCGCAACCGATGCGTGTTGTGAATGCAGAGGGGCCGCGGGTACATTTTCCAGGCGAAGAGAGAGGACACAGCAGAACACACACTGAATACTGAAGCTCCCAGGACATACGTGTATATTCTGTGGTGCCTTACGCTGTGATTACAGAAAGTATCACTCGCTGGGAGGGGTTGTGGATCTGCCCTTTTCTGGGTGAATAGGAGCAAAACAAGGGGCCGTGAGAATTCTCAAGGCTTGAAGGCCTAAAAGTTGAAAACTTCTGCATTACCAGAAGCCCTCAGGCCTGAGGGCTGCAAGGTGTGCTGTGGAACAGCAGCAAAGAATCCACTGCTCTGACAGTCAGGCTTCCGACGTGTGCAGGACCTCCTCAGAGCAGTGGTTCTCGGAGAGGGGCGCTTCTGCCAGCCTCTCTTGGAAGGTGGCAGGCGCGCACAGGGGTGGGCGAGACCATACCCACTGAATCCGAGGCCCCGCAGGGCACCCAACAGTAGAGTTTGGGTCGGCGCCCCAGAGGGCTCTGACAACAGGAGCACCTGTTTGCTGCTCCTGCCCTGAAGAATTCGGGAGGCTCCCAGGCTGCCGGCTTGAGCTGAGAGTGCTAACACAGCTTGAGAATGGGCCTGTTCCTCGTGGGGTGGCTCATGCTTGTAATCCCCGCACTCTGGGAGGCTGAGGCAGGATTGTAAACTTGAGCCCAGCCTGGGCAACTTATGGAGACCTTGTCTAAACACCCCCCTAAAAAAAAGTCAGCGAGTGCTGGGATTGGTCGGGCATGGGCTGGGAGACAGAAAGAAGGAGAACGGAGTCACCAATGCTGGGCTGTCGGGGTCCGGCCAAGTGTTCTGGGAGGGGGTGCCGAGCTCCCTCAGGAAGTGGACTTGCTGGCTAGAACCCCGTGGGATCGGAGCCCCTAGAGGCGGTGGCCCGTGCTGCTGAAGGCCTCCGCCTCTTCTCCCGCTCATCCCTTCGCCCCGGTTGGCTAATGTGCACCTGGCTCCCAGCGGGCCTGGGCAGGTGGAGTGGCTGGCAGGAAGACCGCAGAGGGGACACCGCACTGGGGTCAGTTAGATCCCGCTGAAGGCTGTAACTGCTCTCCAGCTTCCTGAAGGCACCACTACCTTCTCGCAGGTTCCAGGGCCCAGGGGATGGAGATCAGGTGATCCATGAATTTGGATGGGAAAAATGTACATCTATCCTGTAACCCCAGCACTCAGGAAGGCTGAGGCAGGCGGAGCACAAGTTCAGAAACCATTTAGGGAACTGAGCGAATTAGCAAGACCCTGTGTAGCTCAGTGGATTCAATCTCTAGTAACACCAAAAAAGAAAAAAGAAAGAGAAAAAAAGAAAGACATCTTTTGCTCAAGGCTAATATTCATGTCTTGTTTTGTTAGTCAAGGACCAATTTGCTCTTTAAAAATTCTCATTCAGGGCCAGGGATTTAGCTCAGTGTTTCTACCACCTGGCTCACAAGCACAAGTTCCCGAGTTCGATCCCCAGGACAAAAAAAACAAAAAAATGCTCATTCAAATGAAGCAGTCCTCCTTCACGCTGATGTCTTTACTTACTAAAACTGAACTTCAATCTGCCCACATTTGAAATATGTTACGTGTTCTTTTATTTAACATAGTAAAGAAGTACAAGGTTAAAAAAAAAAAAAAAAAAAAATGCTCATTCAAATGAAGCAGTCCTCCTTCACGCTGATGTGTCTTTACTTACTAAAATTGAACTTCAATCTGCCCACATTTGAAATATGTTACGTGTTCTTTTATTTAATATAGTAAAGAAGTACAAGATTTATTCTACTGCAAGTTTTTATTAATATTCTGATAACTGGAATCAATGCGATGGGTTTATTTTGCTGCAATGCATCGCTTTGCTGGAAGGCCCCAGCGATGGGTGACACAGGAGCCAGGACGGGAGACCTCTCCACACCTTTGTGCATAAACTGAGTGGGGACCCTGAGGGTACTGCACTCGCAGCAGTGTGGTTACCAGCAGGCAGATCCCAAGGCAAGGAGCAGATCGGGGTCACAGGTCCCTCAGCAACTCCCCAGGGCTGAGGTCTGCAGAAGCTTTTACTTGTGTAAAAAAATCTTTGGAGGAAAGCGGCAGTGGCTCACTTCTAATCCCCCGTCTCCTGGGAACCACAGGGAGGGATGAAGAGAAGGGAGACACACACACACACGTTCAGTAAAGCTAGGAGGTGCAGAAAACCTGCCAGCTGCGTACCGCCTGCGTACCGCCTGTGTACCAACACACAAAGAGGGTATGAATGGAGACAGAAGGAAAGATACGGCAGGAAAATACAGATTTTTTTTTTTTTTTTTTTATACCAGGGGTCAAACTCAGGACCTTGCGCTAGGGAGGCAGGCGGCTGCACCACTGAGCTAAATCCCCGGCCTGTGCCAACAGATTTTTAAAAATGAACACAAATTCATGGAAGAAGAGAGATGTGAATACATACTCCTATTTTTAAAATCACCAGTGACTTCTGAATTTTCTTTTCTATTTTTTTAAACCTCAGAATAGTTGAGCTAGGCGGGGTGGCCACACCTGTAATCCCAGCACTCAGGAGGCTGAGGCTGAGGCAGAGGCAGGAGGATCACCACACATTCCAGGCCAGCCTGGGCTACGCGGTGAGTTCAGGGCCAGCCTGAACTACAAAGGGAGACCCTGCCTCAAAAAATCCAAGAAAAGAAGGAAGGAAAGAAAGAAAGAAGGAAGGAAAGAGGTCTGCAGTAGAGACAGATTTAGGGCTTATCAGAGAGTAAACAGTAACTGGAACCATGGCTGTGGTTCCTTCTGTGGCTTGTGTGATGAGTGGATTTTCCTGCCAGCGTGCGAGACGTGCTTCCCTCAAGCCTTGTTTAGACTACTGCACGTTACCTGCCTGGTGCTAAAAGGGGAAAAAAGAAAAGAGGAAGCCGTAGTACAACAGCAGCGCCTAGCATCCCAAGGCGCTGGCTCCACATTTGTTAAAGGCAATGGCGGCGTGAGAGATTGAGCAGCGCGGGTCGTGGAGCCAGGCGGACGGAGTGGAGCAGGTGTGAAGTTAGGGCTCGGCGGCGTGTGAAGCAACAGCCAGAGCGGATTCAGCCACGGTAACAAAAGGCCAAGCCAGGTGTGGTGGCGCAGTCCTGTACTCCAAGCACTCAGGAGGCCGGAGCGACAGGATCACCGGTGTGAGGCCAGCCCAGGCTACCTGGAGGCTCTCCCTCTTCTCCAACGGCCGCAGTACAACAACAAAAGAGAACAAAGAAAAACCCACTGTGCGTCATAAAGTGAATGAACAAACAACATAAGTAGATTACACTTTTTTATTTTTAATGTTTTGCAGCACTGGAGATGGAACTCAGGGCCTTGTGCTTGTGAGGCAGGCGCAGCGCCACTGAGCTAAATCCCCGGCCCAAATTACATTTTTTTTTTTCAAGTTTACATGTATATATATTTTTTTTTCTTAAAAAAGATACTCAAAATATTAATAACCATTAAAAACAAATTGACATAAATGCAGTTGGAAGAAATTTTCAATTTGGATTAAATTTACCTTGTGAATTATAAAGAAGTTTCCCTTAATTGCAAAACTATTCTATCTACACTATTCTATCTTATTTTCAGTAAATCTTGTCCTCAAACCCAAGAACATAAAGGTTTGGAGCCACTGCTGATGCTTCGGGTGGCGTTTCAGAAGCACCTGAGGTGGATATGGAGAAGAAGGCGGTGACCAGGAGGCCGCCTGGGGCGGAGCAGGCGGACACTCGTGACAGTGCCCAAGTGTGGGGCAGGGAAAGCAGAAGAGCATGCAGGCCGCGGGGCCAGGGTGGCTTGGGCAGGCTCACAGGTGCAGCTCCTCGGCTGCAGTGTCCCCTGCTCCCAGGAAGGTCAGGATCGCGCCGGGAGGGCAGAGCAGTCAGCAGGCGAGGGGCCAAGCTGCCAGGCCTGAGGCCTAGGGAGCTGTGGGAGGGCACCAGGGCCGAACGTCCTGAAGCAGAGGCAGGGCAGTCTCTAACGCTGGTGGTTCCCTTTCTTGCATCCAGCCAATCTAGTCTGCCTGGAGGCAGGACCTGCTTGGACCCAGGAGCACTCCCTGTGCTTCTGCCCTCCTTCGGAAGAAAGCAGCTATAAGACCGGGTGTGGTGGCGCACACCTGTAATCCCAGCACTTGGGAGGCTGAGGCAGGAGTATTGCTACGAGTTTGAGACCAGCCTGGGCTACACAGTGAGTTCCAGAGCAATCTGAACTACATAGCGAGACCCTGTCTCAAAAAAAAAAGAAAAGAAAAAGAAAGATCACAGCCTGGGGTGTGTGTTGTGGTTAAAAAAAAAAAAATTGTGCTGCCAGGCCTGAGGCCTAGGGAGCTGTGGGAGGGCACCAGGGCCGAACGTCCTGAAGCAGAGACAGGGCAGTTTCTAACAGACCGGGTGTGGTGGCGCACACCTGTAATCCCAGCACTTGGGAGGCTGAGGCAGGAGTATTGCTACGAGTTTGAGACCAGCCTGGGCTACACAGTGAGTTCCAGAGCAATCTGAACTACATAGCGAGACCCTGTCTCAAAAAAAAAAAGAAAAGAAAAAGCAAGATCACAGCCTGGGGTGTGTGTTGTGGTTAAAAAAAAAAAATTATTTTATCCACTGGGACCAGAGGAGCTTTGTGGCCAGAGTGAATCTTTTCAACCAGCGCTAGACAGCAAGGTTCCAGTAGTTTTGGGTGGGCAGAGCCAAAGAGGGGATGACCCGAAACAGGGCCTAATGCTTCTCTCGCTCAGCCTCCACCTCCATGGGTCCTGCAGCAAAGGGTTTCACTGGCACACACTCACATTGTGATGCTCTTTGGGCCCAGTTGCCCCGGAAAGGAAGCTGCACTCGGGCAGTGTGTGTAGAACACACTCCCGTCTGGGGAAGCAAGCAGCTTGACAGAGACGGGACTCCGGGAAATTCTTCTCACAATTCTGGATCAAAGCAGACTTCAGAAATATGCACTAACCTTCCGGACAGAAACGAGAACATTGCCACAAAGGCATCTGTGTGCTTGGGAGCATGTTCAGCGGCGACGGCGGCAGCTCCTTGGGTCTCTACACGGTCACGTCTGTCTGAAATCACCCATTTCCACTGAGAATCGAAAAATTCACTGCTCGCACGCTGTGTACACAGCAAGGGCACAGTTGAGGGTATCCAAGGCGCTTGGTGTGCTGCCTCTCGGCTGGCACCGACGTTCGCTTCTTGGACAACCATTATAAGTTCTTCAGAAACTCTTTTGATTTTCTCACTCACTGTGGCCTCTCCCCCACCCCCCGGGAGCAGACCAGTCCTTGAAAGGGTCACGAGCAGAGCCCCACGCCCGCTCCACTTCTAACTGCACCGCCACAACATCCCTGACTTCCGTTCTGGTCTCTGCTGGGCGTTCTGGTCACGGCCATCCCAACCGATGTCCCCACTGCGCTCATCTGAGGGGCACTTTTCTCCTCCGCATGTCCACAGGATCTTCTCCAGGCGCTCCACTCCCCGGAACCCAGTCTGGGGGAGGGCAGGAGACAAGGGTGACCGGGCCACTGAGCCCTGCAGGCCGGAAGCCAGGCTTACTGTGGACCGACTTTCCCCGGTCCGTCCCGCAGTCTTTACAGAAAGGAGAACCACTCAACAATAAAAAGAAGCAGACTATTGAAACGTGCAAAAACACGGAGAGCTGTCCCAGGCTTTACGCAGAATGAGAGAAGACGGAAATAAGAGTACACAGTAAGGCCTGGCATGGGGGCATGCGCCTGTAATCCCAGCTACCTGGAAGGCTGAAACAAGAGGATCCCAGTTCAAGCCCATCCTGAGCAATTTGTCTCAAGATAAGAAGGATGAGATGTAGCTTAGTACTCCCAGGGTACTACCCCCAGTATCTTAAAAAGAGAGAAAGTACATACTGTACGATTCCATTGATATGAAGTTCAAAAACAGATTAAACTCAGGGCCAGGGATTTAGCTCAGCGGCACTGCACCTGCCTCACAAGTGCAAGGTCCTGAGTTCTGTCCCTGGTATTGAAAAAAAAAAAAAAATCAAACTCAATTTTTTTTGAGACAAAAATCTTTCTCTGTAGTTCAAACTGACCTCTAACTCATTATATAGCCCAGGCTGGCCTTGAATTTGCAGCGATCCACCTGCCTCAGCCTCCTGAATGCCTGGATTGCAGGTGTGCACAACCACACCCAGCTTGAATGTTTACAGGGGTATAAATCAGTGGTTACTTCTGGGAGGGGAGAGGGATTGACCAGAACATCCAGGTAGGATTTTCTGGGGTTTGGGAAGGGCAGTGTCATTACACAGGAGTATGTATTTGCCGAGTGTCATCAAACTGTAAGCTTGAGATCTGTATTTTACTGTGTACAATTATATCTCCATGTTCAAAAGATCACCCAGGTCAGCGAGGCAGGGTAGCACCCACCTGGAATCCCTGGCCTCAGCAGGAGAATTACAAGTTTGAAATCAGCCTGGGTAATTTAACAATTAGCAAGATGTCGTCTCAAAATAAAACATTAGACCTTGGGTTCAATCCACAGCAAAAGCAAAATAAAACAAAGTGAAACAAAGAACCTTATGTGGTGTTGAGGGTGGAGGCTGAGGCAGAAGGATCTCTGGCTGGAAGTTTGAAGCCAGCCTGGGCTACATAGCTGTGGACCAGCCTGCAGTACATGGCAAGACCCTGTTTCAAAAAATCAAGATGGGGAGAGGCAGGGGGACTTGTGTGGACGTGAAGCCTGTTAGGTTGGGGGAGTCGGGTGCAGCTGAGCCCTGACAAGTGTGGAGGAGGTTAGAGGCTGCCAGCAGGAAGGCCAGACCCATGGCTGGTGGGGGGTCAGAAGCTGGGGACCTCAAACCTGAGAAGCAGCTTATCTAATGCTGAATGTCACAGCTGGTGGCCATTCATTAAGTGACAGAAGCCACCCTCCCGCTGGCCTGCAGCTGGCCACCTAAGGAGTTCCCCAGGCCGGCTGCCTATCTCCTTCACGGTCTCCCTCGCCCAGGCCACCGCACTGAGCTACACCCTCAGCCCTGCTTTTGGTTTTTTTGTTTGTTTTTTTAATTTTGAGACAGGGTCTCGCTGAACTGGTAAATTGCCCCGGTTGGGCTCCAACTCACGAGGGGGATCCATGCAGCCGTAACAGTGCATCTCGGCCACCCGTCCACCAGCCCTGGACCCTGTGATGTCTGACTCCTCCCCGGAGTCCAAGTGACCACGAAAGATGGACGTTTTCAGCAGGATTCAGAACATCCAGGAGCTGCAACAGTCATCAGACACTCAGGAGGGCGAATGTGCAGCGCGTGTTCAGAGTCAGGACCTGGGCGCCGGAGAACTTGGAGCGGCTCTACGAGATGCAGCCGGGAGGCCCACAAGAAACACCCGAACTCCAGGCGGGGACAGAACCTGCCGGAGAAGCCTACACTGTGCAGGAGAAAGCTTCCCTTCGAGCATCACCATGTGGGAGTGCTTTTGGGGTGTCCCATCAGTCATCCCTAAAGTAGGATTTACACCCCTGGCTCCATCTGACAGACGTGTGGGTAGGGGAGCCGGGGCTGTGCCGTGGCTCCCAAGCCGCCTTCCCCGGGGAGCCCTGCCCGAGATGAGTGCACCGTGGGAGTGGAGACTCACCTCGGGCCAGGGCCTCGTCCACGTCGCCACCGGAGAGCTCTCCTCCGCACACTGCAGGCATCTCGGAAGAGAGCTTTCTCTGCTGCATCCCGGGGTGTGGATGCGGGTAGGGAGCGGGACTGGTCGGCGCTGCAACCAGGCGGCGCGGGAGAAAAGCCGCTCTGGGCGTCGGCGTGCGCCGTGACCAGCAGAGGGCAGCCCTGCCTCGCCGTGGGCCTCAGCTTCCACCCACCCGCGGTAGGAGGGGCGAGTTCCTTCTCCCAGGACTGAGGAGAGTGTTGTCTGGGATTTAAAGAAATTCAATAATGCCGGGCGTGGTGGCGCACGCCTGTAATCGCAGCACTAGGGAGGCTGAGGCGGGAGGATCTTCGAGACCAGCCTGGGCTACACAGTGAGTTCCAGGTCAGTCTCAACTACATAGTGAGACCCTGTCTCAAAAAACCAAAAAGAAAAAAAAAGCTTAGAGGCCACTCAGAAGAGGGTGGAACCGGATAGTCTCTGGAGGAATCAATGGCAAAACGGAGCTAGATAAAGGCACAAAGAAAAACATTTGCATTAATTCAAAAGAGGCCAGCAGAAAGCCTGTGGTGGGGTGGGCCCTCGTCCCACGCACTGCTTCTTTTCTGGGGGCTGCTGTCTCCCCGGGTGTGCAGTATGCGCGCCAGGGTGTGTGGTGTGTTCCTGCACAATCTCTCTGCAGCCGTGGAGTTGTGCAATGCGACACCCTTCACTTCACTATCTGCAGGACACGTGCTGGGTGCTCTGTGGCCTCCCAGGGACCGCGGCGAGTGCGGACAAGACCATGAGTGGCGCTGGGTGGGCACATCGGGCGGGAGACGTGGGTGACGCAGACCTGGTGCAGTGGGTCCGGGTCCTGGAGGCCTGAGTGCGAGTGAGTCCAAATTTGCCATCAGCGAGCACCCAGGTGACACCACCAGGGCAACAGCCAGTCGGCCTGCTCCTCCCCGTCCCTGCGATGTAGAAATCCCAGGGAGGCCGACCGTGGGGCGCAGTGGGGTGAGGGACCGGGCGGGGGGGCAGGGGAGGGCGGGAGGACGGAGCGAGGGTGCTGCAGGGCTCGTGGCCGCTGGTCCTTCCTGAACCTGACAGGTGGTGGAACCACATCCTGGCCTCGCCGCCCACGGGCTCTCCTCTCCCGCTCAGCCCGGCCTGACTTTGCCCGCACCTCCCGGAGCCCTGGACTTCCCCACCAGTGGTGTCCCCTCCCAGGAGGCCTGCACCTGATGCACCCCACCTCCCGCAGCCCAGCGCCCCACTCCCCCCACCGCCAAGGGCCGTGCCAGGATTCTAGAGGTCCTTAGCAAGTGATGCATAAGTCCTGCCGTCCCGGAGCTGGGCCCTGCCTTGTCCCTTCTGGTGTGGGGAGGTCTGGTCACACAGGTGGCACTTCCTCCTCGGCCGCTGCTCCAGCTCCTGTCACTCAGGGCGGCCTTCAGTTCCCCGCCCTCTAACGTATCTGGGAGGGTGAATTGTTACAATGTAATTTTGGCCAATAATTGGTGCCGGTGACCGCCCCCCCAGCCATGCCGCTGCTTCCTCTCTCAGAGGTCTCACTGGTCCCCAACCGCAGCACCCGCTGACATGGCCTGGACGCTGCTGTTCGTCCTCACCACACTCCACACAGGTGACTGGGATGCTCAGGGAGGGGGCGCGGGAGGAGGCCCGAGGGATGCTGGACTTAGACACCCAGGAAGCAAGCTTTGGGAGTCCTGAGGGAGGGGAGCAGTGGGACGCTCACCTCTGCAAAAGCGACGCAGGAGAAGGGGCCAGTTCACAGCCCCTTAGGGCCACTCCGTCCCAGCGCCCTCCCAGTGAGACAAAACTGAAAGGACCAGAGAAAGGGCTGGAAGGAAAGAAGGACATAAAAGAAGGGGCCAGGATGTTGGTCGATGTTTTTGAGGGTATTAATGTGATGTTTAAGAAGTCTTGCTGGGCGTGGTGACACACACCTCAGTCCCTGCCCTCTGGAAGGCTGAGGCCGGAGGATCCACATTTGAGCCCAGCTTGGGCAATTTAGCTACTTAGACTGTGTCTTAAAAAATAAAAATAGCGGGCCGGGGATTTGGCTCGGTGGTTCTGCCACTTACCTCACAAGTGCGAGGGCCTGAGTTCAATCTCCAGTACCAAAAAATGACAAATAAAATTTTAAAAATAGAAATAAAAGTAGGGGGCCGAGGAGCATTTAGCTCAGTGGTTCCACCGCCTGCCAGGCAAGCACAAGGTCCTGAGTTTGATCCCCAGTACAAAAACAAACAAACAAACAAAAATATATATATGTGGCTGGGAATGTAGTTCAGTGGCACAGCTCCTGCTTGACAAGCCTGTGGCTCTGAGTTCAATTCCTGGTACCAAAAAAAGAAAAATGGGAGGGCTTGGGATTTAGCTCAGTGGTGTTGTCTCCTGCTTTGCAAACACAAGGTCCTGAGTTCGATCCCCAGTACCAAAAAAAAAAAAAAAAAAAAAAAGGTGGGGGTCTGGGGATGTAGCTTTCTGTGAAGGCCCTACGTTCAATCCCCAGTATAGCCCCCGCAAAAGGCCTATTAAACTAAGCTGATTAGCCAGGGTCTAGACATATAATTAGGAATCTGGCACACCTAATTAAGCCTAAGATAAATTTTTTTTAGTGAAGCCAATTCTAGTTAATTGAGGGGCCTTAACTATAGGCATATTTGTTAACTAAATGCAGGGTTTCTCAACCTGTGGATTCCAGACCCAGCTTCAGCAACACCTGGGAACGTGGGAAAATTCCCAGGACATCACCAGACCCCTAGGGGGCTGCCCAGTTTTTTTTTTTTTTTTTTTTTTCCTCCAGGACTCCACGCTTGCCAGGCAGGCACTGCGCCGCTCCCAGCCCCACCCCAAGTCACTGTTTTAACAAACACAGCCCGTGGTATCTGTAACATCAGCTACTCAGGAGGCTGAGGCAGGGGAGGATTCCTTGAACCCAGGGCAATTTAGTGAGACCTAAATTTAAAAAGACAAAAAAGACATGTCAGGTAATTCCCATATACACTCCAGTTTGAGAATCACAGCAGTAGAATGATTGATAAATTTTCCTAATTAGACAATTTTTTTTTCTGAGACAAGGTCTATGCAGGCCAGGTTGGCCTTGAACTTGCAGTGATCCTTCTGCCTCAGCCTTCCACGTACTGGGACTACAGACGAGCTTCATCTTGCCTGGCTGTAATTAGAGAATTTAGTAATCAGTTTAATTTATCAATATGGACAAGTTAAATAGGGATCTAACCAGCTGCAGGTGCGTCCTTACGAGGGAATGTAGTTAATGATCCAATAAAAAAACAAAGTAGTAAGGATGCAGTGAACTAATACCCAGAACAACAGGGCAACAGTGCTAGTTCCCTAGGCAGCCACATTTACTGGTGAGCGTCCATGGCATCGGCAGGATAGACTTCAGCAGAGTCACCGGGGAGGCAGCGGGAGAGGGAGGGCGAGCGTGAGGGAAGTTGGGGCAGGAAAGAATTTGGAAAGCAACTTGAAGAAAAGTCGGTTGGTGCAGGGGAAGGGCTTAAGGAGACACCCGAAGCGCCATCCTCCGTGGCCGGGACAGCCCACTGCCGGCTCTTCTCCCGGGTAACTGGTGCGGTGGGTGCGGCCCACTTTCTGCCCCAGGCTCCTGTGACCTCTGGGTGTCCCAAGCTGCCGAGGTCCACGCCCAGGAGGGCGCCGCCGCCCTGCTCCCCTGCTCCTTCAATGCCAGCTCGAGCGGCCTGGCCATTGGCTCTGTCACGTGGTACCGAGACAAGGTGGCCCCGGAAAACGAGGTGAAGAACGAGACCCCCGAGTTCAGGGGCCGCCTGGCTCCCCTAGCGCCGTCGCGCTTCCTCCGGGAGCACCAGGCCGAGCTGCGCCTCGGGGACACCCGGGCCCGAGACGCGGGCGTCTACCTGTGCC